ATATAATGTTACTCATCATCTTACATTCTCTTTCATATTCATGTACAGTTGTTTCTTTTTCTTTTTTTTTATTAAAGATTTTTGTTTTCATTTTCATCAATCTGTATGCACATGAAATCTCTTTTTCAATTTCATTATCACATATTCAAATTTGAATTGTTTCAGACAACATCTCTCAAATGAGATTCCCGGGCTGTTTTTGAGTTCTCCTTATAACCACGGTTATCCATGGATAGGCTGGAATACCATATCCAGCTTTAACTTTCGAATTCAGAATCCTTCTAAATAAAGTTCTGCACGATTGTTCTAGCTACCATCTCAACTGAATAGCTGAATACACCAAGCAGAGATATATTCCAGGACACAAGTTTGAGGCCCTTGAGGCTTATTCTGAAGGACGAAGATATCTGGTTATAAATTATAATTAGGTATGAAAAAAAGAATAAGTTCAGTTTACAATTTAAATGTAGAGCTCAATTAGTATAATGAGAGCATGATATTTGAATTGAGTGCTTGTACGTATGTAAGTATCAATAACTAACTATTTATTAAATATTGTTTTTTAATATTTTATTTAAACATGAATTCATACTACAAAACACATTTGTTACTTGAGAACTATTAAAGATTGAAGGAGAAAGTATGCCTTATGAGATATATATATATTTATGTATATATGTATATCAAATGAAACAGATTACAGGTAGCTTAAAGAGAAAACCATTATCATATTAATTATATCAATTATTGAACTTGATTCTTAGTTTTTCGAATCGAAAAAGGAATAAGTAGGGTTTTCGTATCCATTAACTTGCATTCCAGCTAAATGACGTTCTTCTGATGTGTATACATCAACCTGTAATAGATTGAAGCTCAGTTGAAATTCCAATTCATTAGCCTACCTCAACGAAACCGTGACGAGCATTTCTTCTCTTAAGGATAGTTAATCCAATGAGAGCCAAACAAAGAATAGAACCAAATAAGAATAACAATTGAGATAAAGCGACTTGGCTATCGACAGCTCTTTTCTTGATATCATTCATTAAGCTTTCTCTGATGTTGGCGCTGTATTCTGTCTCAGTTATGATAGGTTCGATGTTAACTCTGATTTCCTTCTCTACGATTTCGTCGCTCTGATCTTCCTCAGTCTGAATTTTATTATTTTAAATAATGGTCGATTGTTTTATTCCTTACGCTTTCACTTTCGCTTTCTTCTGAAGTTGTCACGATAGGTTTCAACTCTGTGAACTTACGATGAACTTCTACTACTCTATCTTCAGGACGTTCATCTACTTTTGTGACTGCTGGTTTTATCTGAATTTTCACTTTCTCGACTTCTTCGTCGGCTTCGTCTTCGTAATAGTCATCGCTGTCTTCTTCTGAATCCTTATCCAAATCAAGAGCTTTTTCCTGGAACAAAGTTTATTCAAAAGATTGCTTCATGCTACTCACTTTGTCAGCTTGTACTTTGGGAGCTGCTGTGGTGGTGGTGGTGGTGGTTACAGTTTTCAGATTGTGCTCTTTACGATAAGTTTCCTGTAAACAATGAACCACATAAGAGTTTGGATTTTTTTCTTACGGTATAAACATCGATCAACTTCTTGTTCTTAGCATCAGCATCCAAACTGTTGGTCTGATTGATTTCGATATCATCAATGCTGGGTGTGTTCTCATGTCGGAAATCTTTCCAATACCCCACTAAACGATGTATTTAGAATTATTACAAACATTTTTTCTCACTGATGATGGCTTGAATTTGCTGTTCAATATCCGGGAAATCACGGAGCATTGAAAGAGTAGCGTTGATACGTAAATCGATTTCACTGAAAAGAAATTTGATTTTACTGTATAGATGCTATATTCCTACTGAAGTTTGTGTAAGAGACTTGGCTTGAACTCTTTGGCCTCGTCTGGAGCTCCGTTGAGGAGATGTCTGTACTTGTTGAGTTGATGAAGACGATCTTTCTCTTCTGCTCGGATGTACTTCTGAAACAGGTAGTATAAGCTTCAACCTATTACTCCTTTTTTTCGATACCTTTAAAGCTTTCAGAACTTCGATTCTGTTTGGTCTCATTACTTGGTTGACCAACGCTCTACGGTATTCATGAGTTGCAATTCTCTTTTTCTCATTGAGGGCAGAAGATACTCTTTCATCGTGAACGGTACGAATTTCATGTCTCGCTTTCTTGTGTTCCTCTTCTAAGCTGTTGACAGTCTGAAAAGTTTCTTTATACGATGTGCACTCACACAGACACTTACCGATTGGAAACGAACATTCATTTCGGATTTCATCTTTTCAGCTTGTTTAGGATCTTTGTCTTTCATTGTGGTGTATCTGCCTTTCAATTCATACCACTCTTTCATGACCTTATCTATCTTAGATCTGTATTTCTTCTCCAGACGGTCAAGAGCATCCATGAATCTGTCATGCTCGTGAGAGAGATCGATTTTAGTGAAGTATGAATCTTGTTTAGCATCATCTTCATCACCGAATGTGTAGAAGTCTTCATCATCATCTTCATCCTCGTCATCATTATCTGTTTTTGATTTGAGATCACTGTTTTTAGCAACAATAACATTATCCGGCTTTGGTACATCGGGCATGTGCGTTAGCTCAACTCCACTAGAGCCACCAGCCTAGAAACAATGAAATAGCCTCAGTCTGTCATGACGAAATAGATATATCACTTGACCACTCTCCCAGTTTCACGATAAGAAATTCAGTTTTTACAGAACTAGCTTCACTTTCATACAACAATTTGAAATTATACTCACCAATGATGGCGCTGCATATAACAGCACAATGAAAATGCTCGGTAATAGAAATACCGAAGTCATCTGAAACGATATAGTTCAGTGATTGATGAAAGAAATAACAAACGAGAAAAGTAAAGTATCAACATAAATAATATACTAAAGTTGTAACAATGTTCTATAGAACAAGAAGAGAAATAGGACAGACAAAGGTGATATCTTGGAAAGTATGGATTGTGTAAAGGTGACAGCTAGCTGTGACCATTTAACAGGAAATGAATTAGTTTTTCAAATTTTTTCATTTAAAGTAATCATCACAGTTTCAGTATGAATGAAACCTGTTTGCGAACTTCTAACAGTTTGAATATCAGGCGGAACATTCAATGTTTGAATCCATAATTTCGTTCACGTGATTGTTTTATGACCTTGCATGCACTAACAGAACATCTTCAACGAAATCAGAACTAGAGCTAAGACACAACTTTGAAACGAGTCAGAAAAAAACTGTTAAAGGTAGACGCGAAACGAGTTGGTGGCCTTGACAGAGATAGCGCAGGTCGCCAGTATATGGTGCATACATAACTAAAAACTGAAGAAGAACGCCGCAATTATTCCAATAACAGGGTATGGGCTAGCAAATAAAGGATGTAGAGGACGAAATAGTGTGTATACGAGGAGGGTAGGTCAGAGAGTACAGATCTATAGAAAAAGGGTATGTCAGAAATAAGGAAATAGTGTGCATGAGATAAGATGAAGTAGAAAAGGGATAGAAATGGGAATGAGAGAACCTAAATGACGGAGAGTCATGACGAAATAGTGAATGGGAAAGCAAAGCATGCAAACACAAGCGAAGGCTAGAGAGTATAGACGAATGTTAGATAGATAACATTGCTAGTACGTCCAACCAAATGTATACACACTAACGGGCCGAGCCATATACTCTCATGGATCGATATGCATTCAACGCAAAACCTAAATATTCAATGTTTGCTTCAACATGTAATTGCACCACAAAAGTATCAAATAGATACAAACTTTTGAGAAGTAAATGATGAAATAAGATTTTTTTTCTTCTTCATTTCTCTTTCTCCCTCACACTTCTTCACGTCTGAGCGATTTGGTTTTGCAAATATGACTCACACAATGAGATTGAATAGTGAGAGGGTTAGAGGAAGGAAAGAAGGGGAGGGGGGATATTTATAATATTATACATGCATGATGGAATATTACTTTGTGTGAATAATTCAACAGCCATAATGAATGCTACTCTTCTCAAAGCATATACAATTACAACCATGTTGATTCTTTACCACACGGTACCTAGTTCAACCTGATACAAGCGAAACAAGAAACGCATAAGGAAGGAAACGAAAAAAAAAAGCTGAATTGTCATACTTTAAGCATATAATGAATGATAACAACATACAAAATGATGAAGCTATCAAACATTTTTGCAAAACGTTAAATACCATTTGAACAGATCAATATCATATGATTAATGAACTGCTCAGAAGGTTGACTTATGTTGTCATCTCGAATCATAAAGCTATTAGACATTGACAAATATTTGCTTCCAGATACTTGGAACGTCTGATCAATCAACAATGCCTACAAACCAAAGCTTCGCTTGAGTTAAACCACAAAAACTTTCTTTTTCTATTCTTTTTTCGTATTCAAAGGGTTGAAGCATGTTACATTGAATGTAAAACGTAGTAAAGACATCAATATCTGCTGCGAAATGAGTAATTTTCATCGCAATGACAAGGCCAGCAACAGAGAAATAGCAAAAATTTAATTTTTGCTCCAATACGAGCATTAAACAATGAAACAAGCTCATTCAGATGACAAAATGAAGAAATGAGTATGCAACCCCCCATTGCTTACACGTGTATATATATCTGGCAATAACGAAAAAGTTGTCATTAGCTTAAAATAAGCTGTACAAGAAGATGTAGATGATGTGATGAAATCTACATATTTTGAATATTGCAAAGTGTAGGAGGATAGATAGATGTATAGAGGAATAATAAGGAATTGATGAAGAATAAGCTAAAATTTGTTGAACAAAATAAATTGTCTGAACAATGAGGCTATTTAGTATTATTCGTTCAAACATAAATTGCAATCGTTAATTCTTCATAAAAATATGATTACACGGCCGTAATCATCACTATTTCAGAATAACTATTCAGTCAACTGAAGCGGCGGCCTTAATTCTTTTCGCCGATCAATCAATACAATATGATGAATGAAAAATTGTGGAGAGTATAGTTAGATGCAATACATGACAGATGCATGCCAGAAAGTATACGAATCGCGGTACTGTAATTTAAGAGAACCAGTCACGATTAGAGCACATACTTAGTTCAAGCGAAAAGATCACATAATGCTTTTTGTGAGGAAACGAATAACACGTTCTATGAAATATGCGTTGTGACAGTAGGCGTTGGCAATGAATGTAGATGAAGAAGTTAAAAAAAAAGAAAAAGAAGATGACAGGAAGAAAAAAAGAAAGAAGAAACTATGAACGCATTCAAATTTCATCTAGCGTAGTGAACTGTTGGATGCTGTTGTGTGACCTTCACTCACTCAACAGCATTCTCTACGTTAATATCTGACAACAAACATCTCGTGTCTATCGTACGTATTGTACAGTTCCTTTTCGTTTGCTTCTTACGTATATAATCTTGCCTACTAGTCATTCCTTATTTCTCAACATTTCATCATTCTCACCATCGCTTAGTCACATTTGATGGATATTTTTTTTTTCGGCATCTATTATCGAATTTCGGAATAAAAATATGAAATACAATACAATTACGAATATAGAGAGGAGAAAGAGAGAGGGATACAGAGAGAGAGAGAGAGAGAGAGAGAGAGAGAAAGAGAGCAATCCTGTAATACTCAACTCATCTTCCTACTTCTACATCAACTTTGTATGTGTTTTTTTCAATCAAGCACTTGAATTTTCAATCGCTCTCAAAAAACTGTCTGCTTTCTCTTTACCAACTATTACTACAATTGCTTGTTCGTTCTAATTTTATTCTTCAAACGCATTCTCAGTCAAGTTTTCGTTTTTTTTTTCTTCATTGCAAACGTTTTGAATAAACAATGGAAGAAGTCAGGGCTGAATTACATTCAGAAGGGGGAGAGAAAAAGAAGAAGAAGAAGACCTTTCTGCCCCGTTTATTCAACTGAATGAAAAACGAAAAGGCAAACTTGAAAGTTTCTCAAAAACAGCAAATCTGTAACAGATCTTCGAATAGAAAAAAGAAAGGAAAAAAGAAAAAATTCCTACGTATGAGCACTTTTCAATTGTAGAATCGATATTGAAAGCGTAGAGCAGAGTAAATAGAATTATAAAAGAAATTTTCAAGAGATCAAGAAGTGAAATAGAAGTAAAAATGCAGGCAAGAGAAAAGAAATCATGTGTCGCCATTGTCGTTGCCGTTTTTGAGAACTGATCATTGTAACAACGAAAAGCATACTTAATAGTTTTCATTTGTATAAGTTCTGCTCAGCAGCTTCTAATACAGCCTATTGTTTCAAGAAAAGGAAGAAAAATAAAAAAAAACGAAAAAAGCACAAGTGAAAGAAAGAAAAACAAGTTTTTCTCACTCTTTTGTTAGGTTTTTTTGTGCCATTGAGTTGTGAACCATAGATGGTTGGAGAAGAGGGGGGGGATGGAGAGAGAGAGAGAGAGAGTTGGGAGTGGGCTATTGTACAATTGATGAAAATGAAAAGAAATAAACAATGAAACAAGAATAACACTTGTCATATCATTCAAGATACAAGCAAGCCCATAGATGCAGCAGCCACACACAGACACACACACCCATCTGATTTATGATGATGATCATCATCATGCTGACAATGAGATTAATTGGGAGAAAAATATTTTATCAAAAGGGCAGTCCGTGATTGCGTTTTTCTATCGAAACCAGACATGTTTTACCTAATTAATTGAATGAACGAATAAAAACTTGTTTTAATTGCGGCTAGGTATGCTTCATAAATCAAAACTGCTTCTACTAATCTAATCACCTTATTAGACATTTTTCGTATTTAAATCATTTGATCAAACATTTTTCTTATTTCGAATTGAGATTTGATAGAGAGAAAGGTAGAATAAGAGAGAAAAAGGCAGATATATGTATATAGAGAGAAAGAGAGAGAAAGTGTACTGAGATTGAATGCGAAAATTGTGTTTTATGAGTGAAAGCGCCCCGCCATTTCAATCATTCAGACAGAGAATTAAATCTTCAATTATGGCAGGAGGTGGTGGTAGGCCAAGTACTTTAAAACAGCATATGTTCGCTTCAACCAAAAATTTCTATTCAAAAGGCAGTTTATGGTGATGATTGCACTTATTCGATTCACAAAACGTTTACGAACATGTAAGCTTTGCCATTTTCACCATGGTGATTGAAAAAATATGAAAACAAACTTGTGAGCTCAGAAAAAGCAGGAACTCGAGCGCGAGACAAATCGGAAGTAGTTGTAGTTGGCATTGGAATTCGTACTAGTCAGAGACGCAGATATTTCACTCAATATGTATGCGCACTTGGTCGTTAAGGATAGTAGTGGCAAAGTCTTGGATTGGATTCGTGTTAGCTCAACACACATGAGGTTGCATAAAGCCCTGAGGGAATTGAAAAAGGAAAATCGAACATGAGAATGAACGGATTTAAGAGAAAGGGAGGAGACAAAAATTTTTCTTTTCCCCACTCCCAAAAATTATGCAAAAGATTTTTGTATTCAAAAATCACACAAATCCTTTTGAGATTTGAGTTTTGTAGAGAAAGTTAAAAAGGAACAGAGATCAGTGAGAGCATCCGGAAAATCGTAAGACGAGATTCTACAATATCATATTGTGTTAATCCGATTCTTTGAGCTGTTGTCAACATGTCAACATGAAATCATATGATGAATAAGTTGGGCGAAAGGCAGAAGCATTACTTAATGACAACAACATTGAGAGATTGGGACAAGAGACTTGAAGAAGACATACAGCTTTATAGAAATGATACAATAACGAAGAGAAAAAAAAAGAAGGAAAAGAAGGCAAAACGAATTTGACGTCGTTCTAGTTCCATCTGAGATGAAAACAAGGAGGTAAACAAGAGTGAGAGAAAGAGAGAGAGAGAGAAAAAGAAGAAAAGAGAGATTAAGAGAGAAATGAAGATCAGAAGAGAAAAAAGAAAATTCAATACATCAAAGTTCTACACGTAAGGGATATCATTGAAAATTATACCAATTTCATTATTATATTTTGAATTAAATTGCATTTTAATATATTTAAGATCTTTTCTTCCCTTTTTCAATTGCCAAATTGAAAAAAAAAGAGAATATTATTGAATACATCCTAGATTGAGAGCCAAATGAAGGGAAATGAGATATGGCTGTGAGAGAGAGAGAGAAAGAGAAAGAGAGTGAGAAAGTACTTGAAGGGAAAGGAGAGAAGGGGGATCTACAAATATTTCAAACAGAATAGGTCCAAATGAACTTTATTTTGAAAGTTTCTCAAGCTCTTAATTCAGACAAGTAATCAATGTAAAGCAAATGAAGCTGCATCTATGCTATCAGCGAAAAGCTTTCCGATTTACGGCTGTTATTTGTTTTTCGAGAGACATCTTGTTTTTGCTTCGTACTCTATTATAGAAATAGCTTTTTTTTCTCTCTTTTTAGGGAAAAAAACAAAAAGTACGCACAACTTAGTTGGTTGTATTTTTCGTTATTCATATTACGTTCTCTACATCGAAATTAGTTTTTCAATAGATGGCATTACAGATTGGCATCTGATCATGTTTCATCATGTTTCCGCTTTCATATGCTAAATAGAACATCATTTTTTAGTGAAAAATGGGATTCCGACTAACAGATATAGCAGAGAGAGAGAGAGAGAAATAGAAGAATGAATAGAGAGAGTTAGAAAGAGAAAGAGAAAGAGAGAATGAGAAAGATACGATAGAGAATTTAATGCTGTTTGGGAAACAATTTTTCACACTTGAGCGCTCATTTTCTTTTTTTCTCTTGTTCTCACACTTTTTCTTTTTCTCTTTCCCATATATGACCATTACATTCGTATTTACAAGACTTGTTACTTGACTTACACAGCATAGCCCCCACTACAATTCGACGTCTTGTGTTCAAAGATTGAAGCCAATCTATGGATTAAAGAGTAAATTGCTGTTGTAAGGCAATTCTCATGGCGGATATAATAGTTTGGAAACCCTCCTCCCGGCAAGATTACGGTAGCCAAATTCTGATATTATATTATATATATTATTCTTGTTAATATGAATATTCAACGTTACTAATGCAGCTGCTCAGCTTAATTAATACATATCCCTTTCCCGCACCAAATCCCCTCCATTTACGATTCGTATTTCCTATACGATGTATGAAGCCTTCAAGATCTTTGTTCCCCCAGCCTTATTAATTCTGAATATGCAATTACAAACATTTTATTTCAAACCTATAATCACTTTCTCATATGCATATACTATTAGAGAATCCTTATACAATGTAATACTATACCATAATGCATATAATCAACAAGGGAGAAAGTGTCGTAGTAGTAGTAGGAGCAGCAGTCATTGATGCTTACACACGCTCATCCTTGAATGGATCTTCAGGGTGACCAATCAGGAAGTCTTGAAGGAACAATCTTTGTCTGAAAGGCACTTGGTCAAGCTTGGTGAGCTCCTCAGCAGTCAATTCGAAGTCGAAAATCTAAAATCCATTAATTTACTGGATAATTCGATGAGTGACATACGTCGATGTTCTCTTGAATACGATGCTCAGAGATAGACTTTGGGATGATAGCAATTTTTCTGTCGATCAGGGCTCTCAAGAGAACTTGAGCAGCAGTCTTTTTGTACTTTTCGGCTAATTCAAGAACAAAAGGCTCTTGCAGTTGGTTTGGACATTCAGCCCAGTTGAGCTTGCTGTAATAGCTTATATTTTATAAATAATTGAAAAAGAAACAAACAGTCCGCTTGGAAGTGTAAAGTTGACACGTCCTGGGGATCCGAGAGAAGCATACGAAGTTACAGAGATGTTGTACTTTTTGCACACTTGAACAAGCTCAGCCTGGGGCCAGTAGAGATGGAGTTCGATTTGACAGTTGTGAATTGGGACTTTAGCCACTTTCATCACTCTCTCAATCTGACTGGGGCTCCAGTTAGAAACACCAACGGCACGAGTGAGCTTCTTCTCATAGAGGGTTTCCATACCTCCCCAGATTTGCTCAACAGTTAAGTTATGGTCTTGAGTAGCCATATCCTTGAAAGCTCCTGGCATATGGAAAAGGTAGAGGTCTACGTATTCAAGCTGAAGCATTCTCAAAGAATCTTTCAGATGTTCCTCAATCTTGGCAGGGTCAAAGAAGGCAGCCCAAGCCTAAAAAATATGTTGATTAACCTCCCATCACTTATAGTACCTTGGTGGTAATGAACAGATCCTCACGCTTGACAACTCCAGCAGCGAAAGCCTCTTGCAGAGCTTCTCCGATAGCTTCTTCATTGCTGTAAACGAATGCAGTATCTATGAGACGGTATCCTTTGGCAAGAGCAGCATGAACAGCATTCTTGACTTCTTCTTTGGTAGCCTAAATCCAATGTTTAAATGATGTATCACTGTGATCTAAGCTAACCTGCCAAGTGCCGAGTCCGAACTGGGGCATCAGAACACCATTGGATAATTCAATGTTGGGGCCGACCATTCTCGATGAAGTTCGTCAACAAGCTAAAATGATACATGATTAAAGATTAATAGTAAGATAGCGTTCATTAGCGAGTAATGAGTCTTTAATGACTATCGCAACATTCCCAAGCCCTTTATAGGACTCGAGGCAATGACCGTTGCATTGTTATCAAGAAACATTTACTGACAGGTATAAAAAAATAGTCACTTAAAGATAAAGAAATCTTAAAAAGATGAAAATGTTATAATGGCATATAGGCGTTGTAAAGTGAAGTAGTAGAGAAATGCTCACGTGATATAATGAATGAATTCTATCAGAATGGCTTTTTCTCTTCTTAATTTTTTGGAAAATATGATAACAGTATTAAAATGATGTTCAAATTAAGAAAAGCGATAAGGATGATGAAGAGCGCAGTGAACTATTTTATCAGATATTATCATTGTTCATACTATATTTGATTACAAATCCTAAATGTTTCATTTATGATTATGCGCTACAACGAGAAACAAAGAGAAACTAAGTGATATCTGAGAATAGCGTACTTATTTATCTTATCAATATTCAACTAGAGCTATTAAAATTATATAATACAATATGAATGAATGAAGAAATAAAATTGGTCAACCGCTTTGAGCGAATGAAACAGCATGCAATGATTGCGATCAAGTGAAGTTTTTGAAAAAGTGCGGGGGAAGATGAGGAGGCAGATAGAGCGCGAAAAAAAAAAGGATTGCTCCGCCTCCTGCGCCAAATCACACAAAAAATGTGTGAGTAATGCTGTTGCAATAATCGCAACTCTGCATCGATTTGATCATTTTCTGTTTGTTGAAATCATATTGAATCCACATCGCTTATATTGACTTATATATATTGAATCGTGTGATAGATGAGAGATAGAGCTTATATGAGAGGTTTCGCGCTTAATACTTCATTTTTTTTTCGTCTAAAGATTCTGAGTTTGACAATATCGCAACTAATGCCCAACCAGTATTTCATTGCCAACAAACAAAAAAAAAAAAAGAAATTGGATAGAAAGAAGATGATAACGAAACATAATGAGTTCTTACAATCGTTAAGCTGAAACAATCCGGTTTTCTGGTTTTTAGGCGATCATTATTTTTTTTGTTTTAAATACGTTTCGCTTTGCATTAGTGAAGTTTGACAACAAAAATTTCTTTTTTTTTCTGGCGATTATCTTTATCAACAAGGAAGCAGATGGTTTACTGTAATGCTAAATAGCGAACAAGCGAACATCAATGAATAACCAATTAAATTCAATGAGTTTGGATTAGATTGAGAATTATAAATTCTAATGAATTCAGCAATAGCTCAGCCAGATTAAAATAAAAAAAAGTATGAATGTTCACTTATATATAATAAGACAGTTGTAGTATGTAGAAAATTTTTTCTGGCGCTTCGTTTTGTCCGGACGACGGTTTTCAGCCATTCAAAGACATTTTTGAAATGAAAACATGTCTTAATTTTCTCAAAATGTGTCATTTTATGCCAACATGAAATGGTTTATCAAGTGCAATGTGTGTTTTCTCCATTTCAGCAAACTCAGAATAATCCTCTCTAATCTCTATACTTGCTATTACCAATTCTTCTGAGAACCTATAAGTTTCTATGGGTTCCGTCATTTAACTAGTCTCTACAAAACTATTTTAAGATATACCAACTCTCTTAATATAGACAAGAAGAGTGATGATACAGACTAAAGTTCTCTCGTTTTTCTTTTCTTATATGATCCCAAAATCTCCAGGAGATAAATAGAATTTTCATAACTTTTTTTCTGGAATACTTTTTCATAAGCGGTTTGATTTTAAAATATACTATGCTTATAAGTAGTCTCAGCAGAATTTTTGAGCGAGTTCCATCTAGGAAAACCCCCCCCCCCACTTTGTTAATAGTTTTCGGTTTCTTTCGCGCAGAAGTCATATGTTGTTTCGTATTGTGAACGACATTAATTTGTTTCTAGGAATTCGTACAACCATACCACATTGAAAAAACGGCAGTAGTGCTTTATGCGAGCAATTATACACAAATTTAGAATATAATTATTATTTTCAGATTGTTAAAGCATCACAATTACTAAGGGTTTTGTGATAAATCAAGTTCATTGATACTTATTTTGTTTTATTTCATTTTAGATTTGGTAATTATGTTACAATATTGGATTGTCTCTTATTGAAGTAAAGTATGAGAAATAAGATTACTGTTTCCTATGCTACTAATCAGGAAAATCACGATACTCACATATGAAAGTTTTCCATTCGTATCTTCAGTCATCTGACATCTCAACAATCTCGCATTGTTTTTAAACATTACTCCATTTAATAATAATGAACTTAATCAATTTTTCATATTTCTGTTCCTTAATGTCAAATTTTGTATGACGTACTACCGGAAGTATTTCTTTGTTGATTGACAACATGTGCAGTGACATGCTCTACAGTTCTACTTTAGATTATTCGCGAATATTTTGAACGATTGATTGCTTCTAGGAAGAAAAGATCTTGTGAGATTTCGAAAGTTTCAAGGATGATGGAATGTGTGAGATCCAAACCTTCATAATAGCACGGTAGAAAAAATCTTTAGATGTAAGATTTATAGTTACGATTAATTGCTAGTGCAATTTAAAATTAAAAGAGAAAATTTCGTGTGTCTTTTTGAATTCATCCTTGTCATAAATACAGAGCCTATACCAAGTGTTAGGTTCTAGTTTTACTTTCCACGATGGCTTGCGAAGAGTTAACGCCGGCACTGCTATTTTGTATCCACCATTTTCAGTGTCAGAGAGTTTACTCTACAAATATAAGAATCTATAAGTTCTGCGTAATTTTCAACATACAAACAGCATGTGTGTCTTGTTGGAGAAGTCGCTTTGTTCCGCTTCAATCTTGATTTCATGATTTTTGAGGAAGGAGATGGTCGGAGTTCCGAGGACTACAGCTATTACGAATGTGAGCAAAACAATTTTCATTCTGGAAAAAATATTAACGTGGGTGATAATAGTACTATGATTAAGTAGAAGACAAAAAGTATAGAAAGATAAAAGTGGAGCGATGGTTCTTAACATAGAGTTACTTCTGGAGAAAATGAATCGTGAGGCGTATTTGACTCTTTTATATAAAAAAATATCGGGCGGAGTTAGTTGATATGTATTGACCTAGGTCAAAACGCGAAGACAGTTTGTCACCCATGGGGAATATAACCCAGAGATAACTGTTGTTCCAGGAAAATTCCATTGTTCTCCCATGCCATGAGCACCGATTCATAACAGAGATGAAACGGAATGATCTAATCCCCTTCTTAACATAATGACTCATCGAAGATCATATCTTTCTAACCTATTCTGTGATGATACACTTTCTGATAGATTATATTATGTAGATCACATTGTTTCTCCAAATCCTTCGATTGAAACCAGAACAAGCACGTAAGTATATCACTGTTTTACAACTTGCTCAAAAAAAAAGTCAACTGAAGAAGCAGGAATGGAGAACCATTGACCCGCAACATCTCGCAGTAACTTGAACTCTGTGCGAGTTTTCCACCACTTTAGAGGGCTCTTCTCCAGGTTAGGTCGCTCTCTCCTTAACGTCATTTTTAGCATACTGAACTCTCCGTAAATGAGATTGGTTTTAAATGTTTAAGTTGGAGCTCACCAAAAAAGCATCATGATGGGTTAAGGACTGACGAACTGTGCATGTGCTTGTCAAGTCGGATAGGAGGCTTTCATCGAATTCTGGTTGCTCGATCATTGTCGTTGGAGTATCCAGTTCAATCATCTGTTCAATCATCATTAGTAGCATAGAAAACATTTCAAAGCTTCTACATTGATTATTTAGATTTTTTCATAGCCAAATGTAAACTACAGATAGTATGGAAAGACGGCTGTCTGAACTGCATTGTATCTTCTGCAGAAGACGTGTGAAATAGTTTTTTCGATAGAACACAAGTTTTTGAAGTTAAAAATGATTTTATTCACCTCATAAAAAATGGAATAATATTATAAAAAAAAAGAAAGGCTAGTTTGTCAAAGTAGTCGATGTTGAGTTATACGCACAAGAGAGAAAGTTCATTGAGAACACTCCAGTAATGTCCATTTATTTGAATTCATTTCGAACTCGCAATGATTTCAAAAACAGTGAAAACTGTTCAAGTAGACGTTGAGTTTCTTCTAAAGCTGCCATCTGAAAGGAGAGAGATGATATGATAGGTTAACATATTAGAAACATACTCTTTCTTCAAGACTTGAAATAGCTACATCTCGTCGAGGATCTTGTAAAATTGGCTATAATAGATAGACATATATATATTGCATAAAAAATAATTCTTATCAAACCATTTCCATTTGTGGATTGATAGGCTTGACAGTTCGAACCATAGGCTTTTCTTCTATTTTTTCAGTCATTATAAAGTGATTATCAACCAGCGTAAGTGTAGTTACGTATAATGCACGTGATTCGATATCTGAAACTACTGATATTGGTAACATTTTTATGAGAAATTGCGTTTTTTGAAACAAAAAAAAAGAAAAAAGATTGACGAAAATAGGAAAATATCATGTGTGATATGATAAGGAATCAAGTTTCTCATTATGTTTTTTGTTTATTTTGTGATTTAAAGAATAGTTGGATCATTGACAGATGAAGAAAGAATAAGAGAGAGAGAAAGAGAGAGATGATTCAAAGAAAAAGAAAGAAGGGTGGGGGCTGAAAGAAAAAATAGATAAAGCAAAATGATTTTAAAGAATCTTTTTTATATGTTCAGAAAATGGAATGTAACATTCAGACATATTTAAATGAATCAAAAATAATGAAAAACCGGAGTGTAAATAGAATGAGATGATGGAGAATAGATTGAATTGTGAAATAGCTTCTCACATATAAAGGAAACTGAAAATATTAGCAGACGTTTCCGTCATCAACTTCTATATCAAAAACCAACTCACTAGCTATAGCATTGAACAATTGTCAATCGCAATATGCTGGGATTGGAGGGGGGAAAGCAATAGAGAAGAAGTTATTCTTTCTGTATTAATTTATTTTTTTTCTCTGTCACTCTCTCTCTTTCTCTTTCTCTCTTTTTTTTGTTCCCTCAAAAAATCCACGATTTATATGGAAATGAGAAGATCATACATAGATTTATATATAAGTGTTAAATGGATCCTGGAGAGCTTTAGCATAACATTAAATTTTTATGAACCTGAGAAACAGCACTAAACGAACTTTTGTGTGAATATGGTGATGGGAGAGCCATATTCTCCATCCTCTTTTGTTTTTTTTTTGTGAGAAGCTTCAGACAACTTTTCATTTTTATAAACTGCCAAAGAGAGAATGAAGCACAAAAAAAAAGATTTAAAACTAATCATGTTTAGGTTAATTTCATGAAATTAGTCTTTCACACCATGTTTTGAAGCGAAAGAGAAGAAAGTCCTGTCACATTCAATGTTTCCGCCAGTGGGGTGTTAGAAATAGGAAGTTATTGCAAGAGAAAAGAAGATTATACTCTCCTTTTTTTTTTGTTTCAATTCTTTGCCAAAAAGAATGTAAAACATTGTAGATGAAGGGCGAATGAGTCCGAAATTTATGATCCACCAAACTGGTAACAGGAGACAGATGCAACAATCATCTGTCAGCAATCGACAACCTATGCTAGAGGCTGCCGAAAGTTTGTGACCGCCTCTCAGGTTATGAACAACAGATAGAGAAGTGAGAAACACAAAACATCTTAACCTATATTTCGTAAGTGTGTGTCATTCGTTTATAAAACTATTAATGAGCTTATATATATTTACAAACGATTTGCTTTTATAATTTTGATTTGGCTACATACGAGTTGACTTTGCTACATCATTGAGTAGTACGGTACTCCGGAAATTTGAGAAACTCTTTCGAATAAATAGCTGGCCGCGCTATCTTCCGGTCTTCTTGGTTGTGTTGCGCTTTCGTCCTCTGAATATCAATCAACGAAACTGAACTCTTTTGAAATATATTTTTCAATAAATGAAAAAATGAAAGAGAATGAACAGATGACACGTGCGACAACTCAAATGAGAGAACATGTCTTTGTTCTCTCTGATATCAACATATTTATACATATATGTGAATGTATATGTTAGTGTCTGTTGGTGAGAGAGTGGAACAACTGAAAGACAGTCATCGGCGTCTGTTTCAAGTGAGTGAAAAGTAAGGTTGAATAGTCTAACTATCTAATGTAAATCTAAGATTTGAATCAGTCATCAACGGCATAATAAAGGAGTAAAACATCTTAGGCATCATCAGAAGGTAGCTTTCCAATATATGGCCCCCCCCTCCCTTCTTCCCATATACGGGAAATAGGAAATGATATAATGGACTCTTGGCTGGAATGTTCCGCAAAAAGCCATTCAAGATTTAATAATGGAAGACGATGATGATGATGATGATGATGATGATGATGAAGAAAAAAGAAAAAGCGTATCGATAAATGCAAGAAAATTTCTCAGCTTTTAATGAATAAAATTGAAACGGAAATGAGCAATTCATTCGGGAATTCATTAGAATAATTACTTTACGCCATTTTCATAAATAGACATCTATATATCTATAAAATAATAGAGACGTCAATAACAGTTCGTAAAGACGGCTTCAGCATGAACAGAGGAAGAAAGAAATTAACGTTGAACGCAATGAACATATTTCTCTCCCTCTATCTCTCTCTCTCTCTCTCTCTCTTTATCCATTTCAGTCATTGCAGTTGTCGCTTTCTCAGGTTAGTTCAAAGTAGTGAAGTGAGTGAGGCACAAAAAAGGATGAAGAAATGAATGAAAAACTATTCTTCCCTTTCTGACTTTTATTTGTGTGAATGAAAGAAAAGGAGATCGAGATGTTTGGAATCTGCAATGACACTTTTGCAAAGTTTTTAATGAAAATATAGGCAAAAAACGGAGTTACTCTCATGGCCGGTTAAGTCTGACTGTTTCAACGAATGGTAAGTCATTCCCTCTCTTTCTCTCTCTGCAAAAACAGTGAGAGACTTTAAACGGATTGGCGAAAAAAAAAGAGAAAGGAATGACAACTTTTTCATTTCGATAAAAAGGCTTTGGCTTAAGGCCGTATTGTCTCGCTTTTTTTTTCTGTTTCGAGCAATCCAAGAAGTATAAAAAGAGTGAATGAAGGATAGGGAGAGAAAGAAATATGTGATGAAGATATTCAATGGAGAAAGGAAAGAGAGGGACTTAAACTAATTAGCTGAAGAATTATGATACACATTTATTATGTTGAAGAGACCACCCAGACCTGAGAGCCATCTGCCTTTTTTTTGAACTAAAATTTAATGAAAAGTTCACATCTCTTTTTACACAATGACATCCAATGAGTGTGCTCGTCAGTCTGCAATAGAGCGCGACAGTTGAGGAGGTCTGTTCCAATTTATTTATTGCCTTCCGCTTCCTCCCCCCCCCTTTCATTCTACAAGAAAAATGAAAATGCCATCAAAGTGTTTAAACGTTTGAAATATATTCTGCAAAACAAAAGGCAATAAAGTGCAAATGGAATATATAATCTTAAAATGAAGATTGTCTCGCTTTCTTTCTCTCAATCGCATTTCGGCAAGATGACGATCCCATTTCAACAATCTCTTTCTACAGTATCAATATGAAAATGAGACTCTAAAGATTTGTATGAGAGAAATCTTCTAATCATTGTCTGGTCTGGCCATATGTGATTTTAGATTCATTGGAATAAACACATTGAAGAAGATATGATGGTTGCAAATGCGCATCAGACAAGAAATACAAAGACAAGTCTCTTGTCTCTAAATGCGCACACAAGACCTACGTGTGCGAATAGTTTTCATCGGAAGTGAACAAAAGAAATTTTGTCGATCATAAATTGTGAAACAGAGATGATGGAGGAGAGAGGAGAAAATAGGCAGTGCGAAGACAACAAAACTAAAGAAATGCAACGATTTAGGGACGAAAATAAGATAAGGATACGGTAGATGTATTCATATCATCTCTTTCCTCATGTCCTTCACTAGTTGTATAAATTTTTTTGTTAAGCAAAAGGTCATAACTACGCAACCTGTGACATTTGCATAAAAAAGAGAGACGCCATCATCTTTACCTAAACAAATATTTACACAATTAGAAGCTGTTACTGTTTTTGATGTCATGTCGTTTCGCAAACTCTAATGAGTACTTGATTATGGTACATGCATAAACAAAGTGTCTTCTCTAACAGGTAGCAAAAGAAAACATCTCACAACTAGCTGTTATGACGTACTTACCTGAGATGAAAATAAAGCGAAAGATCTCTTCAATATCAAAGGTAATGCTCCCGTTCCGTAGGGAGCTTAGAATGATAATCAAACTTTCGCGGGCAATTTAGATATGAAATGGTTGCATATCTTCATTTATCAACAAGCGAAACATGATTACACAATGAAATCAACATTACAAAGACCATTAAAATGCTGATAGTATCGAAGCTGAAAACCATTTTTCAAAACCAATTTTTGAATCTCCCGTAAAGTTGTGTTAGTTACAGCCTACACATGGAATATCATAATCACCAGATCAAAGACAGAGAGAACTCTCAATAAAACATATATATATTTACATTTTTAAAACTTATTAATTTATTCATGCAAATCCAACTTTCTTCAGTTTCTCTCGTAACTCTTCCAAATCTGCGGTATTTCCAGCTCGTAAATCTTCTAAAGCGTCTTTCAGGAATCCTTAACAATGATCATTTGTAAACATTTTGAAATTTTGAGTTGAGCCATAAGCTTGAAGTAAGGCTTAATCACTTACCAGCATCTGTATAGAATTGACGACTCAACTCTACTGCTAAGCTGGCTGGTTCGGCTATTGTTGCAATGAATTGCTTCATCACTCTGTCAGCAACTTCATTAACGGTTCGTTTGAACAACTCGTCATCTGCAATCGATATCCTAGACTCAATTCTCTATTGTCTTGTTGATACCTTTAAACTTTCCCTTATATGCTACAAAGAATGAATATGCAACATTCTCATCCAAGAAGAACTTATCCCAATTGTGGAAGAGTTGAAGCATATCCTATAGAGTTCTTACAAATTATGAAGAATCACTTAATTTTGGTATACCTGTCCAGCTGTCGTAATGTATTCATGAGGGAATAGAGTGAATGTTGGTAAATTTGCATTGCTCACGGCACTGGGTGGAGCTCGCTTCTGTAAGATTCATTGTTATATAATAAGATGCTCACATCAGACCATCTCTTCCATTTTTGTTTTCATTTTGCCCGTGATAGATTCGCATGATGCTTTCAATACGCTTTCAACAACAGATTTGTTCCATTTTTTGAAGTTTTTCATGTTCGAAGCGATGGAAACTAAAACATGATTAATAGTAATCAATAGATCAGATACATTGCTTACTCTCTGAATCCAATAATCTTTCGATGTCTTCCATACCAGTCAGAAGGTAGCCACTGGCACTGCATATTGAAATCAATTCACTAACAGATCTGGTAGAGCTTGATTTATCGATACTCGATTTCCATTTTTGTAAATATGATAGGAAGTTGTCCAATGTTTTCTAAACATGAATCATGTTTGCTTCTGCTGAAATTAAACAAAACTGACGTTGACTGGAGTTTCCACAATCTGAGCAAATTTCGTCCCAAAACAACCCCGACTTCTTTCAATAACATCATGCATAAGGGCAAACAGAGATGAAATCGATGTTTTCAAACTTTCCACGCGTGTTCTGAATGAGCCTTGTCCAATCTGTTGATAGTAATGTTTGATTTATACTGTATGATACAACTACTTCGTCCATAGCTGAAACTCTCTTAATCATGAAAGATATAAGTCCTTTTTGCATAGGCTCATTCATTTCTTTGGCCAAACGATTTTGTAATAGTTTGAACGTGAGCTTAGACTCTGACTTGTTACCAAGCGTGAACATTATCTGAAAGCTCATGATATGTTTGGGAAACTGGACATTTCAAACCTTTGTAGTTTCATCCATGATCTTTAATATATTGTCAGTATCAGATATGAGTAGAGTAAGAGGAGTTGTTAGATCACATGCATCCAGTCCCAGGTTCATAGCTTCAACAATCATCTCATGAGCTTTATCATCGTCTAGGAAACGACGAAGTATTCTAAAGAAGTGTATAGCTTCGAACTCATGGAAGAAAACATACTGATATTGATGTGTGAAAATGAAATCCATTTGCTTATGCAAGCCTTCCACCAGAGTAGACATAGAAGAAGAATCGAAATGAAACTCTTTCAAGCAATTGATAGAAACTTGTTTAAACATAAGCAAGAATTCTGGAAATACTACTCGTGATTGAAATGTTTATTTATCATACCATCTTGACGATCCATAGCTTCATAGCTGTGCTGTATCTCAGTCATACGAACATAATCTGCTTGTTGAATAGCAAAGATCAAAGCAGTTGACTGCCAAGCAAAGAATTGATCTTTTAGATCTTCGAAAATCTTATCTTCTTCAACAGCTTCTTTCAAGAACTTGAACAAACGAGAATAGGGAAACTACAAAAGGCTCTCACTTTATGAAGTATTTTCCTGCTCTGCTGCATCTCTAACAAGCTTTCAAATAGAACTCTCTGATCCTCACTTTCTTTTTTGAAGTTTTCCTTGATAATACGGATTTGGGTTACAGCCTGCAGTCAATAAGCTTATCTGAGATATTTTTGACCAATCATACCTTTATGATACTGATGAGAGCTTGTGTTCTTTCTTTTCCTTTGTCATGTTGTAGAACCGCTGGGATACTGTCAAGTGATCCCTTATTAATCTTAACAGTCCTTATATGTTCTTCCAGCGACACTTTGAGGTTTTCCATTGTTTGAACCAAATCAGTGAAGTTTTCATATCTAAGTGCATTCTATCACCAAACAAAAATATAATTTTATACATACTGGGCTCTAGCTCTTTCTATTTTCTCTTTTGTATTTGTAAGCTTCTGTCGATACTCTGTGACAGTCGATTCAGTTGTACCGAGAATCTCATTCAACCTACAATACAATTTCATTATATATAGTATTCATTTAATTTCTGACTTTCTTCTTCTTTCCTCTTTAGTTAATCCTTGACATACGCCCGAAAGGTACTGACCGACCTGGTTCGAGGAAAGTTTACTCTGAAGAACAGGAACTACGGTATCATAAGGAGACAAAATAACTCACATAGTTGATATCAGTCATTGATTAATGTCACACTTCTAATAAAAAGCAAAATTACTAAATCTACGTCTCGAAAAATCAGCGATAATCTCGAGTAGAATGACTCTATGAGATTTCGAGAAGACAACGCATCAACTTATTTGGTCTCGACACGATTGGCCTGGACATCAGCTCTCCACACCTATAACATGAAAATCGATGAGAGCAATACGTACAAGGAAAGAACTAGCTCAAAGTACAATAAATTATGACAACTGAAAATAATTAGCTTAATTATTGATACAAAATACGTTTTTCGATTTCTCTGCCGTTTTCAGATATATTTTGCTTGCTTATCGAATACATTTCTTCTTTCAGCATATACCATCATCATGAGCTCAGCAAACAAGGATCCTCCGGAAGAACAGCCAGGAAAATCTCTACTCGAGGTTTCTAGTCCAACTGAAATTGAACCGAAAGATTCGGAAGAATCTTCGGAGCAGTTTACTCCAATTTATGAACCTAATGAAGGTGTTCCTGAGAAAGTGAGTCGACATTGAAAAATGAGAGAATCATCCAAGAGTTTCAGAGAACCGGAAGCTTCAGGCAACTGTTGTCTTCAGGATCATCGATGGTTAAGGACACGTTAAATGCTCTGCCTCAGTTTTTGTCGTTAACAGAGTTATCTCAGACATTATCTCACGCATCTCCTGAAGATCGTAATAGTTCAAAAAGGTTTGTGCCTGTGAGATAAATTCTCAAACTGCTATCTCTCTCAGATACCGACGAGAGAAACCTGAAAATGCCCCCATCAACGATTCTGACGATGACGACGATGCTGTAGTGTTTTCAAGTGATCCAAAATTGGAAACGGTAAGACATCTCTGTTTGCTTATGAGCAGTGAACGTTTGCAGGTTACGTTACAACAATTGGGAGGCGTTTCGTTTGAAGGAAGAGAAATCAAAGATGATAAAACTATGAATCCTGGTTATATAGTTGTCATACCTACACACATATGCTTTTTACGGGCAATAAAAAACAAAGATAGCCAATATACATTGATTGGTCGATATCCATTGAATACAATAACTCGTATAGCATGCAAACGACAAGTGCCTGAGTTATTAAGTTTCACTATCGGGTTTGAAGAGAATGGAAAAATAACAACAACTGCTACTCATCAGTAATAATTAAATATGTTATAAAATTATATAATATATCTTTTTAAGGTTTATCATGCGACAAGCTGGAGAGTGTGCTAAAGCAGTCAAAGACGGAGTAATTGCATTAATGATGAAAAGTGATCCTCTAGCCATGTAATATAAATAACTGTTAATTATTTATATATTATTAATTATCATTTGTTTTTCGTTATCCAGTATTCTCAATCATGTGATAATGTAAGATACTTGTATAAAGTTTCGTAAAATAAATTATTTTGAAAAATGATGTAAACGTGTTCTTCCATTCAAGTAACAAGCATAGATGAGTCATTTGATCTCAGTTCCATTCATCTTTGTATTAGTTAAGCCCTTCTATGAATTATTTGTTATGTAATACTTCAGCTTATGACCACAATTTCAATATTTGCCATTTCCCTTCTTACGACCGATGTTTCAGAGAGGAAGCTGTAATTGCTTTCCTAACTACAAATGAAAACCCTGACCGAATAATTGAAAAGACCACCCTGAATGAAACGAATTGAAATATGAAAAGAGAATCTGATATGAATGATATTTTAATCTTAAATATTTTTGAATAACATTCAAAGCATAAGATCACAAAACACACTCCCATTCCATCCTTCATCATTGAAATGGCAGCTCTGAAGATAACATCAAAACGAAGCCATACGCTTAATTCTTGTACAGACAAAAAAAAACAGAAAATTGTTAATCACAAACTATTATCAAATCTATATCTATGAAAGCGATGAGTTGTTAATCAATCCATCTCATTTCTATGTGAATCCTTCATTGTTAATTATATCTAATTATATGTATATAACAGCTGGGCTTAAGCCACAATATAGATTTTTCAATTTTATTTTAAATGAAGAAAAAGATATGATTTGAAAACGAATAACATTCTACGAATCTTTATTCTCAATACAGCTATATATAATCGATTGCTCATATACAAGGCTAATTAATTTTTGCAAATAAAATTATGGTAATTACGCTTTAATCGAAACATTCATAAGCATTACCATATACAGTAGTTAAATATATATATTTTGTTTATTATATATATTTATATATATATTTATATAAATAAACATTATTTATCTTTTGAGCATTTCATCGAATTCCAATATTTCGTTTCTATGTTGTAGTCTGCTCTCTCCTATTTCTTAGTTATCTCTCGTACTGTCGCGTTGGACCCGGGTCAATATAACGCTCCAATGCAGGTCAGCCGCGCGGCCTATTTTGTTTGGCTGTTTGAAAAATAATCAGCTCATCCCATATATATTATTTTATATTTTATTTTTTTCTCTCTCTCCCTCTCTACCTCTCTCTTATTATATTAATATATATTAAATGGTATTAAGAAGACAATATGTTATAAATAGCATTGATGATAATGGTAGCTTGTAGATTTTAATATAAAAAAGATTATTATTATAATAGATAATAAGATTTCTTTTCATTTATATATATATCTTTGGTTAACTAATATACATGAGATTAGCATTCTTTGATTTATCTATGTCTTCCCAACAGATTAATGAATGTATATTAGTTTCGTTATTGAACAATTCATATACTGAATCCTCATGCAGGAAATTAGAGTATAGATGAATCTATTTCCTTTTTGAAATATTTTTTATTTGAACACAAAGTTTCATTTCCTGCTCTCTATATATCCTGCCCTATACTATAAAAGCTATATTCGATAATGTTGCACGACTTCGTGGATAAGATCAAATATGATCTTGTTGATTTCACCAACTTGCAATATATTCAGATGCCAGCCGTTAAAGGAGATGGTATGCGCGGCCTTGCCGTTTTCATTTCTGATATTCGTAACTGTAAAAGTAAAGAAGCTGAGCTTAAAAGAATAAACAAAGAATTAGCTAATATTCGTTCCAAATTTAAAGGTGAGTAGTTTCAATCATCAATGTTAGCTGAACAGTTACTGTTTAGGTGACAAAACCTTGGATGGATATCAGAAGAAGAAATATGTTTGTAAACTACTATTCATCTTTCTTCTGGGAAATGATATTGATTTTGGACACATGGAAGCAGTTAATCTCCTTTCTTCCAATAAGTATACGGAGAAGCAAATTGTAACTTCAGAATTCTAACTTAATCAAATCTCTATATCTTCAGGGATATTTGTTCATTTCTGTTCTCATAGAACAGAATTCAGGATTGATGAAACTCATCATTCAAGCCATTAGGTATCATGTACGCTCAAGTATTTTTTTATAACAATTCAATTTTAGAAATGACTTGACATCTAGAAACCCAGTTCATGTCAACCTTGCCTTGCAATGCATCTCTAACATTGGTAACCGCGAAATGACCGAGGCTTTTAACAAGGATCTTCCCAAGCTTCTCATTTCTGGGTAAGCAGAATATTCTACGAACCTCAAAACTTGTAATGTTTTTAGTGATACTATTGACTTTGTCAAACAATCCGCTGCCCTCTGTCTTCTCAAACTTTTCCGTAATTCGCCAGAGCTGATCCAGCCTCATGAGTATGCCAGCAGAATTGTACATCTACTTAATGATTCTCATATGGTAGGATATTCAGATATCATGAGTATTAAACACTACTCATGTTTCAGGGTGTTGTTACATCAGCCGCTTCATTGATTGAGCTCCTTTCAAAGAAATGGCCTGATGAGTACAAGGTTTGTTCAACAGTGCATCCAAACGCTTCATTTATATTATAGGGATGTGTGCCTTTGGCTATCTCTCGCTTAAGCCGCATAATAACATCTACTTATACTGATTTACAAGATTACACTTACTATTTCGTTCCTGCTCCTTGGTTGTGCGTCAAACTTCTCCGTCTTCTTCAAAATTACCCACCACCGGGTAGCAACATCTAATTGTGTCAAAACTTATTGAATTTCTTTGCAGAGGATCCATCATACAAAGCTCGTCTTTTGGAATGCCTTGAGGGTATTCTCAACAAAGCTCAAGATGCTCCAAAATCGAAAAAAGTTCAACATTCCAATGCTAAAAATAGCGTTCTATTCGAAGCCATTGCTCTCGTCATACATATGGATTCTGAGCCTAATCTTCTTGTAAGAGCGTGCAACCAGCTAGGAACATTCCTTTCCCATCGTGAAACTAACTTAAGGTATATTATCATCATTGGCTGCTCGAAGACTGGACTTTTTTCAGATATCTCGCTCTTGAATCAATGTGTCTCCTCGCTACATCTGAGTTCTCTCACGAAGCTGTGAAGAAACATCAGGAAACCATAATGAACAGTCTCAAGACTGAAAAGTAAGCTTGACCTAATCGAACTCCTTATTAAAGTTATCAAACAGGGATGTGTCCGTTCGCCAACGTGCTGTTGATCTCTTGTACGCTATGTGCGATAGAACAAACGCTTCTGAAATCGTAACTGAAATGCTATCATACTTAGAATCAGCTGATTATTCTATCAGAGAAGAAATGGTATGACGCTTCATATTATGCTTCTCCAATATGTTTTTCAAGGTTTTGAAAGTGGCCATATTAGCTGAGAAGTACGCTTCTGACTATGGATGGTATGTGGATGTTATTCTGAAGCTCATCCGAATTGCTGGTGACTATGTGTCAGAGGAAGTTTGGTACCGTGTTATACAAGTATAATAGTTTGAACATCGATGTTGATTACCTAAAATCATTCAGATTGTTGTAAACCGAGAGGATGTTCAAGGATATGCTGCTAAAACATGCTTCGAAGCTCTTCAAAAGCAGGCTTGTCATGAAAACATGATCAAAGTTGGCGGATATATTTTGGGAGAGTTCGGAAACCTCATCGCTGGTGATCAGAGATCTTCGTATGTTTCATTGATTAATATCTTGTTTGAAACAATTTAATTTAGACCACAAATTCAGTTTGAGCTACTTCACTCTAAGTTCCATTTATGTAGCGTGTCAACTCGCTGTTTACTCCTTACAACTTACATCAAGCTATGCAACCTTTTCCCCGAAATCAAACACATAATTCAAAAAGTGAATATATAACATCGATATCAGAATCAGCTTTTTATTCAGGTTTTCCAAACTGATCACAATCTTCGTAACCCCGATGCTGAACTGCAACAACGTGCTGTAGAGTATCTTAACATGAGTCAAGTTACCAGTTCGGACGTATTAGCTACAGTATGGTTGATACTTATATTCTTTTGATATGCAATATGTTTCAGATCTTAGAAGAGATGCCACCATTCCCAGAGAAAGAAAGCAGTCTACTAGCCAAATTGAAGAGAACTAAACCCCAAGTTGAGGAGTTTGAGACTGTGGAGAAAGAAAAGAAAACTAAGCCTGTTCTTTCTGCCATCATGTCAACAGATATTCCCGATGATAGTCCAGTTAATCGTTCAAGTGATCTTGGAGTAGCAAAGACAGCAGCGTAATACAGAATTTCACTGATATTTATATAATATATTCATCAATCTTCAGTCCATTGTTGGATATCTTTGGTGGATCAACTGCTTCACCCACAGCTTCCGCATCTCCTAGTACCGTAGCAGAACCAGTAACCGGAATTGAAAATTCTCAAGATTATCTAAAGTAGTTCTTTACTCTCTGAGCAGATGTTTAATATTCATTTAGGTTTGTGATCAAGAATAATGGAGTTCTATACGAGGACGATTTCATCCAAATTGGATGCAAAATGGAAACTAGAACAAACTTGGCTAGATTAGGAATGTTCTATGGTAACAAAACCACATTCACTTTCGAAGAATTCGTTCCTCAAATTAACTGTCTCGGACCTCTAGCTAATCAGCTTCAAGCACAAGTGAGATTTGCAAATTTCAATTTGCTTTTTTAACAGCTCCCTCTAGGCTAAGCCAATTGATGGAATCATCGCAGCCGGATCTCAAGTTCAACAGTTAATCAACTTCATATGTGTCAGTGAATTCAGCCAACCACCTACCCTCAATATTCAGTTCAAATACAAGTATATAACTTTTTTTTTGTTGCAAAAATCATCTTTTACTTTTCAGTGATCTGAACGGACAATCTCATAACTTCAACAAATCTTTCTATCTTCCAGTGTTTGTTAACAAGTTCTTTGAACCAACTGAAATGACTTCTGAACAGTTCTTTGCTAGGTTAGTATAATGATGTTCCAGATCACAAACAGTTGATATTCTTCTTCAGATGGAAAACTCTTTCTCTTCAATCTCAAGAATCTCAGAAGGTGTTCTCTGCTAAACAACCCATCGATATGGAGAACGTGAAACAGAAGGTGACATTTTGTTATGATGATGTAGGTGACTCAAGTTTCTTCAGTTAATGGGAATTGGAGCCAAAGTCCTACCTGATGTTGATCCTAACCCAGTTAACTTTGTTTGTGCTGGCATAGTTCATACAAAAGCTCTTCAAATTGGAACTTTGATAAGGCTTGAACCCAACAAGCAAGCTCAAGTAAGAATTAAGCTATTGCAATTTCTTCATATACTCTTTTCAGATGTTCCGCCTAACAATTCGTAGTAGCAAAGATACTGTAGCTAAATTATTGGTTGATATACTATCGGAACTTTTCTGAGTCACTTAGCGACATTACGAGGATTGAATGCCATACTTCTATCAAATATAGTCAAAATTTCCCGAGTTTTTCAATGACCATTCCATTTAGTTTTTCATATAAGCTTTCCATAATTTCAATTTGATATACAAGTAATAACTTAAGTTAAGCTCATGCATTGTCAAAATTAATAAGACGAGCCCTTACATAACCTGTGAAGAGTATACCTTGTGCAATATTATTCCAATAATAATTTGAGTTTTCATAGAGCAATACGTTTTTTAGCCTTTTTGATCCTATTTTTTGGATTAGTTGTTTAGTTACTGCTTTTGAGCTTTTTAATTTATTAAGGAGTGACATTTGTAGCTCTGTGACATTTTGTACTCATAATATTATAGAACCAAGCATAATTTGTATTGAATAATCCAGTATCCTAGTAAAGTTTTCGTTCGAAAAGTAGTTCGCATTCATTTATATCTTTATTTGAGTTATAATTACGTATATCTTACGTTCAGTCAACATATTTTGATCTCAAAGTATGATCAGAACATTATTTGAATGTTTTATCCAGCCTATCGATTATATTATTGATTTTCAGATACAGAAATTTGCAGCTCGATCGTGTCAAGACTATTGCCTGGTGAGCTGTATAAGGACACGTGGAACTTCTGTTTGTCTCGCTTGGGCGTTTTTTCTCTAATTCTCCTCAAGTTTATCATTGTCTCGCATCTCGTGCAGAACAGACACTGGGGCATCGATTGTTGAAACGCGTCGATACGTTTGGAATCGATTCGCGCTCGAATATAAGTTGTGAAAACTACGGAATATTTTTCATTAGAGCATAATATCGTGAGAACTTTGCGCTTTCAACTGATATGTCTCACGAACTATTAGAAAGTAGGAAAAAGCTGCCCGTTCGAGTGCAGGTATGAATAATTATAAGAAACATACTACTATATGCTATAGGATGCTATTTGCGATGCTGGCAGCTTAATATCTTTGGCAACTAGTATTTCTACAGAGGTATAAATGTTTTGTTGAAGTTATATGATACTATTTAATTATTTCAGAGTATGACTGCATGTTTCAAAAGACAAGTCGAAAATGAGAAGAACGTTGTTTTACTTTCTAAGGTAGAGTGATACAGTATCTTGAACAGGTTTAAAAATGGAGTTCAGAAATTACATTGTATCGATATGTTGATTGATGATCTGAGTTCCGTAGAGTTGATGATTGAACATCTGTAAGTTGATTTTCCAGTTTTCCATTCAATATGAACTGTTAAGAATTCCGAACATCACTGATGTTCAAGAAACATTACAACTGATTGAAAGACATAACTATTTTGAAGAATCTTGGTTAAACGATATGATTCAAAGCGAACGTGATACGGCTAATTGAAAAATGGGTTTCATGTCTAAGTCTTATGGTTGTCATATCATCATGTGGAGTGGAGCGCTGACGTTCTTTGAACACTATTAGGTTTTTCTTCATTTGAGCTCAAAACGGGTCATAAAATGCTATAACTAATACAATTTGAAACTAATGACAACTAATACATAATCCTAACTCTTAATTCTTGTTCATTAACATATTCAAGCTTACCAAATAAATTTCAAGCAACAATCTTTTCTCATGTTATGTTGTAGTTAAGGTTAATCAGAAACAGTAGCGTGTTAATGAATCAGGTAACATTTCAAATCGAAGTATTGTAGTATTGTTTCAGTGCAGCTTCGACGTCTTCTTCAAGATGAAATGCTAATCCATCAAGGCATTCTAACCAACTATTTACTAACAGTATCAGAGTAGTTAGAAGATCTTGCTGATCCACATTAGAACAGTAATTCATCTGAGCACAAGTTACGATTTCATTTGTAATGCGATAATGATGGCAGAGTATGTATTCAAGCAAATCCGTTTTATCCCATGCCAGATTGTGGATTATCATATGCGAACTCCCAAACTTTTTAGAAAATTCAAAACCAAGTAAGCTTCGGCAAACGTCTCTGAGGAACTGAAGAACGATTATGCGAGTATAGTTCAAACGTACTAAAAACAGCATGTGATTCCCTGTCATTCTGATTGTCCAAGGAAATTTCTTTTTGTAAATCTCTTCAACTACACACACCAAAAGCGATTGCATGGAAAAATATTTGTTGTAATGTTTGCCATGTTATTAGAAAGTTTGTTATATATTTTCACACAGTCAACTCAGTTCTTGCGGGAAGAAGCAAAGAGATTAAAAGATGAAATTATTGTGTGAAACTTCATGGAGAGGTTTTGGATAGAAGTTCAACAGCCAACAGACACAGGTCTGTGAGAGTAACTGCTAAGAATAATTTATTGACAGAAACTATATGACACGATGCATAATGAATGAAAAGTTTTTAGAAGATCCAAAAATTTTCTTGAAATATAAGGCGGTGCTCTCATTTTCAGTGGCTTTCTTAGTGGTATTGCATTCATTCTTTTTTGAGTTTATTTTCACTCATAGGGGTATAATGATGAGCTAAACTGCCAGAAGTAGAGTAAGATTGTGATAGCCAATCTTTCATAGAGAACTTCTTAGTATCTTCTTTGCTGACAACAATGTCTCCTGGTAAAGGATTAGCCAACATGTCGGCAAGAGTTCTATTTTTCTGTATTTTTTTCACCCTTGCCTTTTCCTCGGCTTCAGCCGTCTCCCAATATTCATCATCAAGAAAAGGGTATTTTTCGGTGATAGTTTCTTCCTGTAATTTCATTTCTTCATTATTTCTCGATAAAGTAGCTTCATCACCTCACTCTGACACGTAATTTCAGCTTTATCCTTTGAATCAGCATTATCAATTTCGTTAGAACTAAAAAATGATATGTTGGTGAGATACAAATCGACAAACCTGATCTCATCAAACTGATTCTGAATTTTGTCAAGTGCGGCTCCCATCCCAGCAACACTAAAGTAATGATATAATGGAAAATCTGAGAATATTCATGTAAACTATAATGGAAAATGATTTT